AGCAGGACAGCTTCTCAAAAAGTATTTCAAGAGGGTGTGACTGTAAAGCTTTATCTGGAGCTAAGTTTATGCAGTAAAACATGTCAGTGAAGGGTTTGGAGGAGGGTGTAATATTTTATATATAGTATGTTGTATAAACATTCAATTTCATATAGCATATATCTTTTAGCATATGTAGAATAATACAGGTAGGTGACGCTGCACCTATAACAAAGGTTGCAGAAAAATATTTGAAACTTAAAATTTAGCTGTACAAATAAGGCATATGTTCTAATACCTTCTAAATGGCAGTGCAGCTTTGATGTTGCTCCTTGGCTTTCTAATGTTCAACTGTGTGATCCTTCATGATTAGTACTGCTTTAAGATGATGACGGATGGGTATGGTATTTCATAAAAATAGGCTGTGTTAGTGAGAGAGAGAAAGAGAGAGGACCGCTTTGGAGAAATTAATTGATTTCATTCTGCGTAACATTCATGCAGTAAGGTGCTAGATTAGTTTGGGAAAAACATCTGAGTAGGAATACAGCTCCTATTTCTCCTGACAGAATTTCCTAGATTTAGTCTCTGGATAGAAGAGGCTTCAGCATAAAATGTTCTCCATGTACATTGTTTTTTCTAAATCACTTTTTATATTTGATGAGAGAAAATAAGAAACAAGACCAACTAAACCGTAGTGCTTGACCATCTGTTTTCACTTACTGACTTGCAAGATTTTTAGATCTCTTCTGAGGTGCTGAATAGTGCACTCTAGCTTGTCAGCAGCATGAAGGAAAGAGGGCACAAGAGGACTTAGGGGCCTTTCATTTTTTGACTTCTAGAAAGCACAAGGATTCAATTAGTGATGAACCTCCAAACAATTATGAATGTAAAGCCTTTCCTGCAAATATTGGCAAATCTTTTTCTTGCAGAGGTAAGTGCTCCAATGGGTAAAAAATGCAGTGTCTGCATAAGGTATTTGACTAGCAAAACCGCATGTCTTTAAGTCATTTTCTGTTGAGTTTTTCTTGATTTAGAACAGCAGATTGATCTATTGAAATTTTTTCATTTTAGTGCAAGCTGCCAACGATATGATCCATAGAGTCCAAGAGAAGGAACATGAAGAAAGGAAGGTAAAGAATGGATGGATAGATTTTTATAGTATAACTAAATAAGATTGAATGCTTGTACAGTAAGTCTACTTGCCTTCAGTAAAGGAAAACTTGGAAATACATTTTTCTGTATTTTATATACTTTTAGTAAAACTTCTTATGGAGTGATTTCTGTACTTATAAAACACATTCTGCAGTGCACTGCTATATATTTTAGGAGCAGGAGTAGAATGGAACCCTAGCTCTTGCTACAGTCTCCTGATATGCGGAAACTTTTTATTTCCTTTGCTTTATTTTGCTCTTCTTGCTCAGAGTATAGTAATTGTCACATATAGGGAAAGTTTAAATAAAAAAATTTATTTTCTGTGGAACAAAAAACACCTACTAACTTACCAGAATGGCAATGTAAATCTTTCCTAGGTAGCTGAAAACATTGAGCATATTATGTATACTGCTTGTTGAAAAGGAACTTTTTTTTCACTTTTGCATGGGTAATTTAATGAAGGGCTATATTATAGGAGCATGCGAATCATTGGAGTCTTTTCTGTTGGCTACACTTTGCTCATGTGAAGTACATGTGCTCTGAATCTAAAATTTGGAAAATTATATGAGAAAATAGTTTCACGTTTTCCCATTACTCTTTCATGATTGTGTTCCAGTGTTATCTTTTTACCTGCAAAATTGTAGTTATAATCACGGAGCGGTTTAGAAAAACTGAAGACATTTCTTTGGCTATCGTGCAAAATAGGCTGTGCGTTGATTTATATTAACTGATAGTCTTATTTTTCTTTCCTTTTTGTAATCAATGAAAGCGGCTAGTCCAGTTGCAGTTGAATACTGGTACTGTGTGACGAGCGCAGTACCGAGCCTGAAGTTTGTTTATGGTGTCTTAACACTGTAGTGTACATATTGATAGAGAGCTTAAGTAGGAAATTCTTCTTATAGTTCTGTGGCTGGTATTTTTGAAGTAAAACTTTAATAAGTTGTATAACTTATTGAATGACTGTTCATTTTACAAGAACTGTAACTTTTTTTTTTTTAGAATATTAGCTGTATATTTCCACTTTTTTTTTTTTTAGTATGAACGGGAGCAATACTGATAGCTATTATTCAGGATTTTTAGTATTTCTTTAAGGTTGTATAGTAAGACTTTTTGGCTTGAAGCTTTTCAAATGCGGTAAGTAACAGGTAGGTAACTTTTTTGAGTTATATATAAAAGCTGTCACTGCAGTTCAGCAGCATGAGGAGAAATACGTTTTCCTCATTCTTCTTTCTCTGATTGTAATTGCAATTGTTGCAAAGAACTGCATTTTCGTAACATCTAGTATCAAGTGATTAGTGTTTGCAGCCCTCGGTTAAATTAATACCATTAATTTTCACAGTTAAATTAATTAAATTTCTGCTGAGTTAAATGAATTTGAAAATTATTTGTTTTACTGACTAAAATTATTTGCTTTACTAATTATCTTTGCAGTTCCTTTCAGCTACTGATATCAGCCAAATAGCAAAAGAAAATCTGAATTGTCCCTAACTGCATTCATACTTTAGGTGTAAAATAATTTGTGATTACAGGAGTGTCAACTGAAAGAAGTATTCATGGAATCCTGGCCTTGTTGATGACTTCCCTCATTTAGATCAGTAATATTTAGCTAGTAGTTCAAGCTGTGAATTAGTTTAAGTAGGGGAAACCAGAGATGAAATTTCTTCATCAAGAAATTCTGTAAACATGCATTTGTTTATTGTATGTTCTTGTTTCTTCTTTTTTGGTTTGATACTTTTTTATACAGAAGAGTGCAGGCTTGTACTGGAAGTTGCCCAGTATTTCCTGTAATAAGCCTTGCCTCTTAGTTGTTTCTAACATGAACTAGCGTGGTAACAATTCACAAAACTCGTCTCTGCCTTACATGGTTGTTGTTGGTTTTTTTTTAATTTCAGCACAAATAGTCCAAGTAATGCTAAGAACAATGTTTACTGAAAAACGTGTTTTCATAAATGTTAATTTTTGGCATAGCCATTGACTGTAAAACAAAAATAGAAATAAGTACAATCAAATTATTGTATGATTCAGCACAATATACAAGAAAGTTTTACTGATAGTGTATCTTTGAAGTTCAAGCAATGTGCATTATTGCGTGAGAAAATGATTTCGTAATCAGATTAATTTTTTTTTCCAAATGACTAATGTCCCAACTTAGGTGTTGGGAAGCAATCAAAAACAGGAGGAAGCTATTTTGTGTGGTCTAGAGCCGGAAGCTTTACAGAGGAACAGAGCTGAAGTTCTAAAAGTGTTTGGGAGTGGGGAGTTGTTTCTCTTAAATAATAATAATAATAACAACAGCCATGGAAACTTACCATTTGTACTACCCTAGTAAACCTTTCAGATGAGGTGAAACTGTTTTCTGCTATGCATTAAGTGATGGTAAGTGCCAATCTTCTTCCCTTAGTCTATCAGTATCACTTTCTTCTCTAATAGACAGCAAAAGCCTAAAGTGTAATCTGCTGTTACTGACAGAAAAAGAGTCTTTCGGTTCAAGTTACAGAAATCTACAGCATGGCAGGAAATGTTGGATTATCTAGCACTTAAGACGTTGCAATTTAGAGGTAATTATTGAGACACTTTTTTGCTTCCTGGCTAAATACTTTACTGGTACCGTGCAACATCATAAATTGGCTCAGGCTTTGGTTTGGCTCAAGTATCCATTTATACTGCAACTTTTCCATATTATAGAAGTCATAAGGTTTTACCTAAGAACATAATCTGTTCTTTTGAAGCCTGAATATGTTGTCATAATATCAGCTTCTGTCTTGTTATCAAGCACAGGTATTGTTTTAATATCTAACTGTGTGAATATTTCTTAGACACTTCTTGACTGGATGAACAGAACAGTAAAAACTCGGGCAGTTTTTGAGGTGGTTGTGTTGTGCTTACTAGGTGGTGTTTTCTAATTAAGTCTAACTTAAAGGGCTTGTGTCTAACTTAAAGGGCTTGTGTTCTTTATTTATTTCCACACATGAATTTAGATTATACTTATTTTACAGCATTACTCAGTTTTAGCATTCACTTGAGATGACAAAAGGTAGGATTCAAAATTAAATTATACTCTGAAAAGTTATTCTGTGAAAATGTTTTATTTTCATGTTTGTATGTGCTATTATTTGTGAACTTTTGTTAGTTTACAAGTTACAGTTCTCCAGTTTGCAGCCCTGACACCCACAAAACAAAGTATTTGTTTCTTTTTCATGAATCATCACAAGCAATCCAAAATTTGCAATTAAAAGTTTCCAGCAGTTTGGGAGTTTCATACGTCTTCATTTCATTTCGAGTATTTTCCTGACTATGTATCGGCCACAATTTATTTCAATTACCTCTTACATAGTTGTGTTGGTTTTGCAAAGTTATAAGTTTAAACTAATAAAAATTAATGCTGAATCACTGTTCCTCCAAATATATATATAATTATACATATATTTTAATGAGGAAAAGGGAGTATGTTCACATCCAATTGTGTCTGCGCTTTCAAACATGTACAGGCATTTTTTCCTTCTTCATGACAGTGAAAATCATTCATTTTAACAAATCAGAAGATGCCTGTACTGCAAGTACTTTCTGGAAGACTTTAGGAAAACTTATTATTCTACCTCCCCAAATTATGGATGTGTTTTTATTCAGAATATATGCTATATTCTTGTGTCATCTGATAAAACAAAGTACCTTCCAAATGAACAACAGTATGCAAAGGGAGGTTCAATTTTTCAGTTCTTACTGTCTTCTGTCGCTTAACGGGGCCCAGCTACTGAAATTCTTTGGATTATTACGTGGTTTGGAAATTAAGACATTTTACATGATTCTCTGAATGATGAATTCAGATTAAAAAAAAATACACACATCTACACGCACCCACACCCCACTGTGTTATTCTCTTCAACCTGCACAATAACCAAGCAGAGAAAGGGGTATAGTTCTATACTCCTGTAGCGACTGACTGAAAAGGCATGTAAGAATACTAATGTCATTTAATGTTCAGGACAGTTACAGGCATAAATTGCCTAGAACTTAATTATTCAGTGTAGCAGGGACTGGAAGTAGATCTCCACCATTAAGGTAAATGTCATAAGCAAAAGTTCTTTTTTTGTCGTTTTCCTTTTTTCCCCTTGCCCAGTGAACACGTCTGGTTAAAGAAACTGAGGTCTGTATCGTGGAATAGTCTGTAGCTTTGTAATACCAGGACTGTATTTTGAGGTGGGATATGTGAATTAGATTTTTTAAATAAAAAGATAACTTACCTGTCATTATTAACATCTCAAAACATGGACTGCTCTGCATATGGCTGGCATAAAGCATTCTGGATACTGGTATTGGGACTAGATGTCTGGAGACAAAGCATATTTAGGTGGTAGCTATCAGAAGATGAGAGAATCTGTGTTGGACTCAAGAGTCTAATATGCCAGTTACAGACCTAAACTTTTTCGTAGGTCTGTGCTCTCTGGATAAGTTTTCTATCCACTGTTCTCGATTACTGCAAGGAATGGAGTGTTATCCGACACCATGGTAGTACATTACCACTTAGGACAGCACCTACAGCTGACAGCATGAAGCAGTGACAGTTTTTCTGGGAAGACTCAGGCTTGTCTGTTTGGGTGTGCAGGTGGCATACCTCATGGAATTTTTCAGAAGAGAACAGCCATTCAGATAATGTATCTTAACTGATTGGTTTTTTCCCTTCCTACATGTGGCTTGTAAAGGTGGTATGTTTATCTTGTGCGTGTAGTTTGCATTTTGTGGGGAGCAATAATTCACTGATTTGTCCTCTAAGGAGTGATTTTATTTTTTAACCTGAAGTACTGAGACACAGTAAGCAGTTGCTCAAAATGCTGTTAAACATTTCTTGAATGCAAAGATTCTGAGAACATGCAGAAGCTGGAATGTGAATTATTAACAATTACTTTATTCAAAATAACTTTTGTTTTAACTCGTGAAAGAATTATTGGAACTTTGTATGTATGAGCATCACTGAGGTGATATGAATCTCTAGAGACTGATCATTCTTACTGCTGTCATACTTGTACCAGCAAACTGTAGGAGATACCTCGAGCTGAACTTCTTTTAATTTTGAACTTCTTGTTTTAATTTTGAACTTCTTGTTTTAATTTTCAGTTCATGGTTAGCAAGAGAAGCAAGTGTATATTTCAAAGATTGAACCTCTTAAATAATGTACAATGACATTTTCATGCTGTTTTCTACTCAGCATGAGTTAAATGTGCAGTGAATTAATGTGTCTTAGTGAGGGATCCTGAAGCTTAAGAAGATAGCATATATTTTTGTTCATTTATGTTTAAATTAATTGAGTTTAGTTCTTAGTTTTTGAGTCGCCAGTGAGCAATGTAATACAAGGACATTGGCAAGCTTCCTAAATAACAAAAAATGGAAAATAACCTGAAATTCTCTTTCCTTAAAATGTAAATATTATTTTCCTTACTGTTATGAAATGACTTAGAAATTGAATTGCCAGGCAAATTTTCGGGTTCTACGCACATTAATTTTAATCTGTGCATCAGTGACATGACTTTCATATTAATTGCTGCACATCTATAAATAAAGAAATTACAATTTGCTAGTATGAAACATCTCACTATGTCTCTGCAGGTCATTGATTTACGTAATAATGTTGACTTTTGGAAACTTTGTTTTTTGAGACTGATTTTGACTTCACCAAAACAATTCCATGCTATGATGCATATGCATCTTGAAAAGCTTTGTATTTTGCAGATTTTTCATCTATGCCAACAGAGACTATTTCATCTTTCAAACAGCTTTATGCTTTCTAGCTCTATTACCCCTACAGTTACAATTAAGTCAGAATATTTTTTGCATAGTGTCCTGATTTCGTTAGTTTTTCCTCTTCGGTGTTAGGATGAATTAAATAAAACACTGAAGTTAATAACATTGGATATGAAGAAGATATGAGAGAAGTGGAGACCATTATAGTAAGAAAGCAGAAAACATGGCAAACCTGAAGGTTGTTTGCTGAAGTACAGTATGGAACTTGTACTGATAAAGTGAATCTTTTGGTGGCCTGTTTTTATGTTGGAGTTGGATGTCAGTGTCCTGCTTGGGAGCCTGCATCCTTAAGGGACTCTGTCAGTGTCCTGCTGAGGGAAAGGCTGTACCACGGTAGCAGCTTGTTACAGGACAGCAAGATGTTACAGGACATGCTTGGGTGAGGGAAGCCATTTGAGTACCTTAGCTTCAGGGACAGTGTCTGCTGCAGTGTGGGTCTTGTGGTTGGACTTGGACATAGGAGTCTGTCTATCTTTGATCGGGATTTCTCTCTCATATTGTTCTCTGATGTCTAAGAAGATTCAGGTGCCAGCTGGAGCTTTTCCTGCTCTGGTGGTATTCATAAATCTCTTCTGTTTCGACTCTTTAACTTCTAATAAGAAGCAAACTTACACCGCAAAGTACGCTTTGGTTGAAGGTGCAAATCTATTTGGAATCGCACATTATTTCTGGTGCTCCCGCAGGTACTAATCTGGCAGGAACAGGAATATTGTGTGTATAATAGGTGTCATTTTGAAACCACAAACATACTCGCTTAGCAGCCATCAGTGTTAATGATTTGGAGGTGCTTCTGACAAGAGTTGGGTTTGAATTTGTGATCTAGGAAGGAGAGCCTCGGTGCGTAAGATGTATGTTGAACTTCTACATTGAAATTTTCCAAACCGTTACTAGGTTGTGAGAGTGAAAACAGTATTCAAAGTCTCTGTCTTTTAATAGGTGTTTATCGTTTTTGCTTATTTGCTCTAGCATATTTTAATTTTATTCTACTGATTTGTAAGATGTTTATTATTCATACCTGCAACTTTTCACTTTGTTAAAGGTTCAAAAGCAAATCTACATAACTGCAATTATTTCCAGCATAAACCTTACTCTATAAAACTTATTATTTCAATAGAGTTGCTACTTACATTTATATATTTGAAGGATAAGCAGTTACAGCAATTGCTCCTCAGTACTCAATTTTTAAAATTTATACCTAAGCATATATATTAGGAGACCCACATAGCCTGGCTGTATCACTATCTGTAGTATCACTTTATTTCTCAGTGTCACTTCCCTAGTGCCAGAAAAAGCTAGACATTGAGAAGGGGAAGGGAAGAGATTTTTTTGGAGGAGAAAGAAGTTATACCAGTATTTTTGATATCTTAAACTTAGCTATCTCGTTCTCCCTAAACGTCCGCAATGATCTTACCCGCTAAATCATTTTATATCCTTGGACAGAAATGGTGCCATGGAGGATGCAAATAGCAAGTAGCAACATGAATTTCATATTTATTTCAAGCAATTCAAGTGTTCAGGAGCATGGGTTAGTCTAGAACTGGGTGGTTCAGGTAGGCACTTTGTAATCAGGTCAAAAGCAGTGTGTGTGATTGACAGTTTTGAAAACTAAGGTGAAGTACAGACACCTCATCCCCCACCTCCGCACATAGAGGTTTGTGTCTTTTTTTTGGTAGTAGCTAGTATTGTATCTTACAAACAAAACCGATCTTGTCCTAATATTGTTACAGTGTATATGAAACACTGCATGGCAAAAATAGGGTATTTAACCCATAGTGTGTCCTCTTAAAAGCAGAACATATCATGTGGTACAGTAAAGACTACATAAATTGGTTTCAATTGCATTTAATATACTAAAATACCAGATATTTAAAAGAACGAAGCTGTATAATAGTATTTATTCCTGCTCTGCTGTTCTGTACGTAGGAAATAATCATTATTGTTCAAAAAATAATGATGAGTCCTCTGTTTTGCTGGAAGAACAACATAAGAACAACTACCTGGATTTATTATGGCATACGACTTTATTAGACATAAACCACAGTGAGAGCCAGCCGGCTAAAACAGAAACAGTAACTGCCAGATTCAAAATATTGAATACTTTTTTTTTTTTTTTGTATTTCAGTTTTTCCTTTCTGTGTTAGAGGCTCTTTCACCAACATTTGTATCTGACTATACTGAACTTTCGCATCACAGCATAGTAGAAGTGTTCTACTTTTAAAAATTTATTCAATTCACAAGTGAAAACACTTGTGTTTCAATGAATGAGACGTTCAAGGAGAAAGCAGCAAGTGTCGAGAAAAGAGGAGCAATATAGTGAAGTGTTGGCTAAGATATATGATTTATACATGCTTTTCTTAACCATCTTCATTTGTTGTGAAATGTAGAAGTATTCTTTTATTTAGATGCATTTGACATTGCAAGCAGTAAGAAAAAAAGTTACTTGAGTGTTGAAGTGGATCCTTTAATCTCTGGTGATGCACGTACACATAAGTAATGGACATACATAACTTGCTAAAATATTATTTTGTCTACCAGGCACAAAAGCGAAATATAGTAGGCCTAATATCTTCCTCATAAATCAGCCTATAGTAATGCTTCCAGTGTGTTTTTAATCTGTATCATACATAATGTGGAACTGCCCTCACTTGCCATGCTAGCTGCAGATTCCCAGTTCTTTGATATTTCTGATTGGAAAAGTTGAAGACCCTTTGAAACAAAATTAGCTGTGTTTTATTTAAAATATTTCTGTTTTGGTTACTAAGAAGTTATCCCAAAATAGAAAAAAATGCTTTTTAAATGATGGACTCTCTAAGTTTTTTTGTGTCAGAATGCAGCTTCTTTCAATGCTAACCCACCAAAAAATATGAAATTCTTTGTCCATTTGTAGTGAATTCTTTGTAACTAGAACAAGGGCTAAAAACACTGAATACCACATTCCTGAGACTAGAAGTTCATTTTAAAAGAGAATATGAGTTTGTGAGATAATCCATATTTATATCAGCTGCAGTTTTAGAGTACTTCAAACATTGTCAGTAATCAGAGGAACGGATAATGCAACAAGTATATTCTTCAGATGCTAACCGAAGTTGACAAGTAACTTTAAAGTGACTTTCCATTTGTTTAGATAATTTTCTGCGGTTACCAAACTGCAGCATAGAAAAGCTATTACTGCTGATGTTATCATGTAAAAGGCATTGTAAACATATTACCATTTCTTCTGCAGTTACTATGCCGTATAACTATACCTATTTTCTTCTTACTTTCACCTTTTACTGAACTGAAAGCCCATTTTCTCTGATAACGTTAATATTATGTAATTTCATGGCCTCATTAAACCCACTGTTTTAATCTGCAAATGGTTGTTAAAACTTCCCATTTTCCTCCTCTCAGCTTCAGACTGACAAGCTAATTGTTGGTGAAGAGAAACGCATAGCCCACTGGGAGACATTCGTGAAAGAACAACAGAACAAACGAGCAGAGGTGGACGAAGAGCACAGAAAAGCTATGCAGCGCCTCAAAGAGCAGTATGCTGACATGGAGAAGGAACTGGCCAAATACGTTTCTTTTTAAGACTTTCCTTTCTTAGTAATTCTGTTTATGTGCCAATACCCAGTTGCTTCAGACTTATCAAATTGAGATTCTTTTGGAAAGCTGAAACAAGTAAGAAAAAGAGAAAATTTCCTCTGCAAGTTTGGTATGAGAAGAAAAGTTTTGCATACTTTCAACTAAGTGCCTCTCCATACTTGTTTTGTTCAGGGTCAGTGGAGTGCCGGTATTTCTCAGTTTGTTGGAAGGTGGAACTGGAAATTGCATTGTGTGACTAGATCAGCTCATGGAATCGCAAACTAGAATTCCCTGCCTTGCGCAGACAGTATCATATCATTAGGGAAAATAGAGCCTAATGTAATGTTAAGTATCCCAGTATGCAATCACATCCCTTTCCCCAAAAGTACATGTAATAGGGACCAGCCATATTTAGCTGAGAATTAACTGGGAAAACTATAAATCCCATTCATAGATTTCGGGAAAACCAGCTTGTGCTACAGAATAGAGTAGGTTTTGAAAATTCAGTGATGAAAGATCTCAATGTGGTTTTAAATCCAGTTATAATGCCGGCTGTGGTGTTTGCATCTTAAGTATTATGAAGTAGAGTTGAGATTTAAATGATTCTTGCTAACATACTAATAAAAGTTGGTAACTGATCTTGGACAACAAATCCTTTTCTCTCCCTGTAAGTGTCTCAGACCTATCTTTTTCAGCATTACTGTTTTAAGCAAAGCCAAAACAAGTTCAGAGGTAATTGTGAGAAGCATATTGCATTACATTTTTAGCTAGCATGGTATTTACCTTAAATATTTGGCATGGTTTACTGTTGGTTTACTTAGCAGATAAACTTGTCAGAATTTACGTTAATCTATAAAACAATTGAGGAAAGGTTTTTGTTTCTTTATCAGTGTAACAATTGAGCAGATTAATGATAAAACATCTGTAGTACCAATCTCTTTTCTTACTAACTGCTGTGGAGCATGTGAAGCTCCTGTCCCTGCTTTCCTTGCATTTAGCAACAATATAACTGAAGAAATTAAGTTAATCCATTCGTTAACCAAGCAAAATGAGACATAGTAACTTAATGAAATTTGCTGCAAGCTAACCCACAATACAGGAAATATCTTTCCATATTTTAACTGCTATGCAATATAGAATGGAAACAGGTAAAAATAAACAGAATTTGCCCTGTGCTGGTATCACAGCAGCAATATGCCAACAATGGTTACTTGTGTAAGTTTATGGCTTGGTGTCAAGGCTCCATTCCTGGCAGCATGTTGATAGTGTGATTAAACTTAGTAGTGGAGATGGAATAAGTATTTGAGATTTCTTTCAATAACACTGAATTCTTGCCAAGCTGCTCTGTCTGCTACTGTAGGCCGACAGCTTCATCAATCATCCTCATGTATCTGGACTGAAAAGAGGACTTGCCGACACCGGAGCATGCTGGAATGTTGTTAATTCTCTGTTGTGGATGGAAAAAATGTACATGTCTCAAAAGTATCCCACACATGAAAAATAGGAAAGCCTCTTTCAGAACAACTCTTATTTAAATAAGAGGGTGACTTCTATAATATTTTTCAGCTTATGCAGTCCCTGATGAATGTTATAACTCAGCTCAGGCTTTCACTTATGAAGAAAAGGTTAGTTCTTGTTAGGATTTGAGTCTGAAGTAGTTTCTGATTGTTTTGAGGACAAACTGAAAATGATTTTTCTCTTACAAAATGTTTATGTTCTCAAAGCCCAGATATCTTTATAACAAAATGCATCTAACTATATTCTGAAGGCATTTTATTTTTGCACTGATAATTTTTTATTAAAATTTAGAGATCTCATTAACTGTGCACTGGAGCTGTAGATTTTAGTATTCCTCCAGTTTGAGGGGTCTTAAGCAATGATACAGATCTCGCAAGCTGAATGTCCACTGGAAAATAAAGAGATATTTCCGAAGACTTCTGGGTCTTTGCTCCTTATTCTTTTGAAGAGCTTCTTCTAAATACTGATGTTGAAAATGTGTTCCTCTTTTAAAATGATACAGGTATTTTTATGCTAAAGATCACTTTTCTTCATTGTCTGTATCTGGTTATGGGCCTATTCTCCTTCATCGAGGGACTACCTGAAAAATACTCGATCCTGAATTCAGTGACTTTCACTTTTTTATGTATGATATGCTGTAGTTCTTGAGGTGCTTTGAAATACATAAATTGCCTTTGGAGAAACTTGCCAACATTTATAGGAAAATCTATTTTTCTGTCATAGTGCTAAAAAAGGAAAAAAAAAACTCTTGCTATGTCTAATCTCGTATGTCAATACAGAACATATCTGACAGATAAAGAAAGGTGCCTGTCTTCGGCAGTTTTTTAGCAAGGTGAGAGCGTGGTCTGGCTCAATACATTAGTGTTCCACAACGTCTTTGTAAGATTCAAATTCTAATTTTCTTTGAAAAGTCTTTGCCAGCTGGGAGAAATAGAAAAGAATAGCCTCAAAATTGGTTTGTGACATTTGTGCATGGAAGTATTTTAGCTTATATTTGCAATGTTTACATGATTAAACTTTATGATAGCTTTGAAAATCTTGAGGAATGATATAATCCTTGTCAAACTTGATAAAAATTTGCATTGGGTTCCAATAGGAGCTGGATTGGGTCTTCCAGATTATGCATATAACATTTTGTTTAACACTGTTCATTACACTGTACTGCAAATTTAACTGTTCCTAGTAGCTAGAAGTGTGTTTGGATGTCATATAATCACTGGAATATTCTTGTAATCTTTCTATTCTAACTTATGTACAGCAATAAACTGATATTTTTTTCGTATGAAATCAGCTGCTGCTGTATTTAAGAGTTATAACCAATTCAGTAGTTGAAGCATTACTTACATTCTTGTCTGTTGCCATCTTGTTTTAAAACTCTCAGTTCTCCTTGGGATGTATTGTACTTAAGGCCTCACACTTTTTTTTGATCTTGAGAAGGAGGAATAAAGCTGATTTATTTGTTCTTGCTCTGTTTTCTATGCTAATACTAGGTAATACTTAACACTAACACCAAGTAACACTAGAAAAATTCCATAATAACAGATGGAGTATTGCATGTTCTCTGTCGTTTTCATTTATGATTTGTAAAGCTTTTCCTCAAATACTGTGGGGGTTTTTTCCCAGTAGACAAATTAAATTGCGAATAAATGGAATTATCACCTGTGATTCAGTTCATTGGTTGTAGTTCTCTACTGAATTGAAAAGCTTCCTATGTGTCAAGGCTTATGGATTTCGAGATTTTCAAGTATTCTCCAGTAGGTGTCAGCACAAGCCTGTTAAGGAAAGTCGGAAAGCACTGTCTATTCGTACAAAGTATAATAGAATGTAATTCTTTCTGTGTTCAGCTGTAATTCAATATTTTGTGTATGTACGGCACACCTAGTGGATCAAATGACGTGCTTGTAAGTTAAAAAATAACACTACTCATCAACAGTATTTTGCCCCATTAGTCCTCAGAAAAGTTTACAAAAGGTCATTGTTAGTATGATTTACATAATATGTGGTGGTCTGAATAATGTCTGCAACACTTTTGTGTTCTATTTAGAGTTTACTATGCTTTAAAATTAGACACGTTGTCAGAGATGAAAAACTTTAAAAAATGCATTCTATTACTGCTGCCCACTTCAGTGGATCAAGATTTCTGAAATGGTTTGAGGCAAAGTGTTATACTTATTGATAGAGATCATGCCATAATAAAAACTGGGGACATTTACAGAATTTTTGTGAAAAACATTATTATAAAACTTACTTTTAAACAGGCCAATTATTTTTATTGTTTATAATTAAATCAATTTCCCAAAGTGGTAAAGATACAGTATACTTCGTGCAATTGGTTTAGCTTGCATTCTGTTTGTCGAGATACAGTAGAATCTGCAGGCAGATAGGACTGCAGCTATGTAGCAGCATTTTAAAGAGTTTTCATAAATCACTTAGTCATAAGATTATTCAGAAATTCCAAATAATACAGATATTTAAAAGAGAAGGGAGAAGTCAAAATGGCTTTAAATCTTTTATGCACAATTAACAAAGGAAGTTTTATGTAAAATTTCTTTCAACTCTAGGAAGTATAATATTCTGCTCATATATGTACTTCTCAGTTCTGAAGGGTGTATGGTATTACATGCAATACCTTTGCCGTGTTATAGGTGACAATTTTATGTGTGGTAATTAGCAAAGTAATGACAACTCTATTCAAGACAATTATGGGCATATTTTTCCATTACTGTAGAAAGTATGAAAGGACATTTTATATCATCTTAGAAAGTATCATCTTGCTTTATGAAGATGCAAAACTTTACTAAATTTATATGAATTGAATGGGCAAATATGTGCCTGCCTTACTGTATTAAGATAGGACGGTCTCATATGTAGAAAGAGAAGCAGAAAGAGTAGCCTACGTTTACCATAATCTTTTGCTATCTGATAGGGTGTCACTCAGGCTCTGCATTTCGTATGCTTTGTTTGTGTCTACTTAAGCCAGAGTCCCAACACTCCAAAGTTTCTAAAGGGCTTGAGAAATCTATTTGAAATACTAGCAGAGAAAAGAAATGCCCTGGTAGTGCACAGGTTTGGAAGATATCACTTGTTTTTAGGAAGATGGTTTGTTTTCAGCTCACTAATATAAGAAGGATATTCACCAAGACTTGTGTAGGAAGAGACTATCTGGCCCATTAGCCTTTATTACTAGGAAAAAGGCTTGCAGAAGTCCTGCTAGGTTTTAAAGCTGTGATTTTGAAAATCCGGGGCTCAGATTTGTGTTTCCTAACTAGGAACCTAGCACAGGTATCCTCCTAAGTTTCAGGTGGCCTCCGTAAATGCTTTTTCAAGGCCAAATCTGGATCTGGGTAGTTCTGCTTTTTCTCTGACATGTGATTTATAGACAGTAAATAAAAAGTTGACCCTGTCAATATGATCTTTCAGGACAATCGCATTAAAGAATGGTGGGATGATTCTGTGTTTTAAAACTTAAGCTCATTAATGAAATTTAAATGAAAAACTTGCATGTCCATAGTCTTCTAATAACTCACTGAGTGGATACAAGGAGACTTGCAACTAAGTATCATTGTCTTTTTAACATTCATTGCATGTAAGGATGTAATAAAGTTGGAAAGAATCAAAGCAATATTTGTGGCTTTTACTCACTAATCATTGCTAACGTTTTGAGACTGACATAATCTATAAATTTATCCGGTTTCATGACATATGTTCCTTATTCTATAATCTAGAGGGAAAAAAAAGTTTTGTTCTTGGGGTGCAGCAAACACTGCAGGACCTGGATGGGCATCTTTAGTTGTCTTTGTAAGTTAATTATGAAATAAATCTGCAAGCTTCTTTGCAAAGCTTGTAGGGTGGTACATAGCCACTGCTTTCCCAAACTCAGCAGTGCAAAAATACCTATTGTTCTAATATGCGTTCTAGATTATGTGCAGCATTATTTAGTAGCTTTAGCTTCTGAAAGTTAGTTCCGGATTGCTTGAGGTCATAGGAAGCCCTTTATGAGTGGACTCGAGTTTGTCCTTTCCAGATGTTATTAGCCCTCATTAAATAAATTCCGGTTCCTGAAAATCCCATCTCCAGATGGCTCTAAATCTGTTCCAATATTTGCTATGTCACCTAGAAAGCTTCTAAACTGAATTACATAAATAAGAAATACTGTGCATCCCTCTAATGACTTGAAAGAAAATTGAGCATTGCATTAAGACCTACCTTTTCTAAAAAATATTAAAAATTGTAAGTAAAATTGGTGATCTGCAAAATTAGCAGTTTGATTTGCAAGCAACTAATTTGTTTGGAATCTTACTGAGGAATTATCCTTTAAAGTATCAAAATTGAAATGGTTCAAAAAAATCTTCAGAATAAACGACAAGCAGTGTGTTGCAAAAGTAGAAAAGCTTTCTGTAATCAAGAAGCACCAAAGGTCCATATTTGTGACCTAAATGTAGACACTGTGTATTAAGCAGGTGTGTTGAATTTATTGTGTCTGGGATGCCTTGTATGTTAGAATACAAATACTGCGCAGATTTCCAAAATAGCACAGTGTGTTTGGCTTATTTTGTGAGTGTAAGGTTCATTGCATATGCATGTATCCAGGAGTAGGGCCAAGCCCCCTTTTCAACAGGGCATCATTTCTGGCTGTAAAAAACCATACCTGGGGTCACCAGGATGTATGGTATTTTGAAATTTGGTTGCAGCTGTGGCTTGCAGGTGGTACAGCAAATACAATTTCCTTTAAAACATCGATGAACAGATTCATTCTGTTTAATTGTTGACTTTCTGTTTCTTAGCCGGATATTGAAGTAGGGAGGAAGAGCAGCTCCCTAAATCAGGCTGCTATCGGATGATCGTTGGTATTTTCCACGGTCAACATCACCAAGGATCACAACATGTGAAATCTTTCTTCAGTATTATGTTGTTCCTTGAGATTTTTCTGTTTGTTCTTTTGTTTTCAGAAGGCAAAAGTCCTAGAGAAGCGTGTCATGGTTAAGCTGGAGAAAGAAAAGTCATAGCAGCATTTGAATGCTGTCCCTTTGTCCTTCGCAGTCTCTCCTAAGGAGGAAATGGTAGTTCTGTCTTTATATTTTTTCCAGGCCCAATTTTACTTTAATCAAAAATTAAATTGAAATTCAGACACTGAGTTGAAATGTTGCCATTATCTTCGGTCAAGTAGAATTAGATGCTCAACCTTTGCCTCTGCTGTTATGAGTTTCAATGCCAATTATATTTTGCCTGTCCACATAGAACCGGACTGAGACCACACAATTCTGCGAAGAGGTTATCCAGCAGCTATTGTATCAGTGCTACTGGAGGTCATTGCCTCAGTATACTCCCTTTGAAATGGCTGCTATATAAAAGAGAAACTTTAGCTGAAAACTATTTCAAAATAATTTTCACACGGTAAGAAATTACTCTTCATATA